CCAACATTTAAAACTAAGGAGATTTCATGTAAAAATCTCTTATTTTGCAGAGAACTTTAAATGTCCTGATCACTGCTGTATCTCAGAGCCTAGAACAGTGCCTGGAACATAATACCTGTTTGGCAACTTTTTTTTTTTGAGACAGAGTCTCACTTTGTCACCCTTGGTAGAGTGTCATGGAGAATGGTTTTTGAATTAGTGTTTTCCAAAAACAGTTGCATGAAGTATGAATTATTATCTTCATTTTATCATGAAGGAAAAAATCTCAGAAGAATAATTCACCTATGGTCACACAGCTGGTAAGTAGCAGAATTTTGAACTTGTGGGTATCTGACTTCCAAACCAGTGTTCTACCGCTGCCTTGCATCCAACTCTGGTGGGCCTTTCACATTCAGGACTTTCAACATAGAATTTTCAAAACAGCTTTATTAAGATATAATAAACAGGCTTGGCACCCGTAGCACAGTGTTTATAGTGCCAGTCACATACACCAAGGCTGGCAGGTTCAAATCTGGCCCAGAGCAGCTAAACAACAATGACAACTGCAACCAAAAAATAGCCGGCTGTTGTGACGGGTGGTCCCAGCTGCTTGGGAGGCTGAGGCAAGAGAATTGCTTAAGCCCAGGAGTTTGAGGTTGCTGCGAGCTGTGATGCCATGGCACTCTACCGAGGGCAACAAAGTAAGACTCTGTCTCAAAAAAAAAAAAAGAAAGAAAGAAAGAGAGAGAGAGAGATAATGAACATATACTAGCTGGGAGTTGTGGTGGATGCCTATAATCTCAGGTACTTGGGAGGCTGAGGCAAGAGGATCACTTGAGCCCAAGAGTTTGAGGTTGCAGTGAGCTATGACACTATGGCACTCCACTGAGAGCCAAAAAAAAAAAAAAGATTTTATAATGAATATATATTAACTGGCCACTGTGGCAAGCACCTATAGTTTGAAGTTGCTGTGAACTATGTAGGAGGTTGTGGGGGGAAGATACTCTACCCAGGGTGATCAAGTGAGACTCTGTCTCAAGAAAAACAGATATCATGAACATATACTACACAATTCACCTATCAATGTATTCCAGTATATTCACAAAAATCTAATTTTAGTACATATTCACACACACACCCCAAAAGAAACTCCTTTAGCAGGTAATGCCCATTCCCCTCCCCACTTACCTCTTCTAGTACTAAGAAACCACTAATCTACTTTCTGTCTCTGTAGATTTGCCTGTTCTGGACATTCATATATAAATAAAATTATATATGTGCTGGGGGGTTTTTTGTCTGGTTACTTTAAAGTTCACCTATGTAGCATGTATTGGTAATTCATTACTTATGCAAATAATTTTCTACTGTATGGATATACCAAATTTTATTCATCCCTTCATCAATTGATGAACATTTTGGCTGTTTCTACTTCTTGGCTATTATGAATAACACTGCTATGAACATTCACATTAATTTAGATTTGGGGCATTTATTCAAAAGAAAGTCAGTCGGGTGCAATGGCTCAGGCCAGTAATCCTAGCACTCTGGGAGGGCGAGGAGGTTGGATTGCTTAAGCTCAGGAGTTTGAGACCAGCCTGAGCAAAAACGAGACCCCATCTCTACTAAAAATAGAAAAACTGAGGCAAGAGGATCATTTGAGCCCAAGCTGAAGGTTGCTGTGAGCTATGGCACCACAGCACTCTACCTAGGGTGACAGCTTGAGACTCTGTCTCAAAAAAAAAAAAAAGAAAGTTAGTCATTGTAACTTTAATTCATATGAAAGTTAGTCATTTTTTGTTAAAAACAATAATTTAAGTGTACACATTAAGAATCTACCATGGCTCAGTGCCTGTGGCTCAAGGGGCTAAGGCGCCAGCCACATTCACCTAAGGTGGCGGGTTTGAATCCAGCCCAGGCCTGCCAAACAACAATGACGGCTGCAACCAAAAAATAGCCGGGTGTTGTGTCAGGCGTCTGTGGTCCCAGCTACTTGGGAGGC